GAAATAGTACTTAGTGAGCTAGAACAAGAACTTCTGATAGCAGAAGAGCAAAGAAGAAGAGAAGCTAAGCATAATAGCAGAGAAAAGAAGATAGTACTAGAAAAGCAATATAAAGAAGAAATGAAATTAAAAGAAGAATATGATCAAATAAAAAAAACTAGACTAGATCGCAAGCAAAAAGAGCTATTAATAGTCAAAGAAAAAGAGGAAAAAGAAGAGATGTTCTGCAATTATGAATCTCTAATTACTCAGAAAGTTAAACAGATCAAAGAAAAGGAGGCTAGCAAAGGAAAAACAGCAATAGAAATCTTGTTTCAAGATGATCAACCAATAGAGTTTCTAAAGATCATTATAGAAGAAACAGCTAGTAGTATTACAAATACAGTAATACAAACACACTAAGAAGCAGAAGTAACACATGAAGCAGAAATAGAAGTCTATATTCTACAAGTAGAAGACAAAATTGTAGAAGATATAGTAGAACAAGAAGTATTAGTATATGAAGAACTCTATAAGAATTCTCTTGAAGATAGTCTCTGAGCCTCTAATGAAAACACATGCGAAAGACTAGAAAAGTATAAGGCAAAAATAGCATCAATTTCACTCCTAGGCAAGTCTAAAGAAGAGAGAATCAAGTTCGTAGAGGGAACTCTTTATAGAAGCAAATATATAAGCAAAATTGAAGAGTACTTTACGAATAGGAACTCATAGGTCATCATCAGCTTTGACTGCTATAAAGGAGTTAAAATCTTAAAAGAAAGGTTAAAGAAAAAAGCAAACGAGTAGTACAACATTCTGTTTGAAGATAACGAGCCTGTACAGAAGGTTTTAAAAAGCAAAAGTAATAACAAAAACAGTGGAAAAGCTACCAAAGAGAAAACAAAAAAGGTACCAATCAAAGACAAAGTGAATGATGAAGAAAATGATAAAGCTAAAAGAGAGAAACAAGCCTAAAAAGAGCTAGAAGAAGTATACAACCTTAGAAGAGAGAGATCTGCACAAAATAACAAAAGGAAAATATTCCCTGAAGAAAGAAAGAATTCTAATAGCAGTCAACAAACAGAAACAAAAGCAATGAATAATATCAGAAATGTGATAACAGTTTGGGATCTTTCAAGTTGTGCAAAAAGATCACAAACTTTTGAAAATATATGATATTTCAGAAGAGTTAATCATATCAAAATAATTAAAGAAATGTATGAAAAAACAAGAGCAGTAATTGATTTCATATTAGGTACTATAGCTGCAGAAGAGCTAGAAAACTTATGGTGTATACTATTCAGAGAGAACTGCTTAGTAAGAGTTTCTACTGGGATAAGCAACAGCAATAAACTCAAAGAACGTAACAAGTATACTAGAAGATTACTTGACCTACCAGAAGATACAAACAAGATACTCTTAATGAGACAAATCAAATGAACTGGTACTAAAGCTCTGCATATATTCAAAAATACTAATGACAACAACAGAAGAAGTGCAACTGTATACTTTGAAAACAAAGAAGATATAATAAACTGCTCAAGATTTGCAGTTTATTATTATAATAATAGACTCATATGGGCAACAAGCAGAAATGATTTTTATGAAGACAAAAATTACTAAGAAGATCAAATATCTCTTGCAAACAACAGTAAAACAAGAAGTATAAAGAGCCTTAGAAAGAGAAAGGAAACAGAACAAGATCAAAGAGGAGAATGTTCTAAATACGTTCAAAAAAGATACCGAAATAGCAAGAATGAGTATGCAACATATGATAATACTAAAATAGATAAAGAAAGTAAATAGGATACAACAATGAATTATAAGGAAAAAAGAAGACTATACTCAAAAAATGAAGAGGTTCATTCATACAAAAGAAGAGAAAGAGTAAATATGAGAGAAATGCTTGAAAATCTAATTGCAATTGCAGAGAAAGAAGACTATAAATACAGAGAAGAGGAGAGCATTTGGAAGTACAAGATCCCAAATCGCTCCTAAAATTGGTGTACTAGTTGAACTACAGAGAGCTCAGACTTTGCAAGAAGGAAAACTTGGAAAGCAAAAAAGAGCAAAAGAAAACCTAAATCACAAGAGAACCAGAATCGTAGAGCAAGAGAAGGAACAAAGAGAAGAGTACAAAGAATTAAGCAGAAAATCAAACTTTCAAACTTTGAATATAGCAACACACAATATTAACGGAATAAAAAAAAATTCAACAAAACTCGACCTTCTAACAAAATAGGTAAAAGCAGAAAAAATTAATATTTTAGATATTAACGAATCGAACATTGATGAATGACAAGGAAAGTTCAGCTTAGCAAAAAGCTCAGATTATATTAGCTTCTGGACCTCAGCTAAAGAAGACAAGTTAAAGAGTTCAGGAGTGGGACTAATAATCAACAAAAAATAGGAAAAACATATAGGCAAAATAACAAGATGTAGTAGCTATTACATAGATGTTCTATTTGTCTTTAAGAAAGCAAAGATCTTAATAATAATAGCATATATTCTGCTAAGTGACAAAAAAACAAAAAAAATGCTTCAACAATACATCATCAAAAAGATTAGAGAAAATGAGAGAAGAGGTATTAAGATTATTATTATGGGTGATTTTAATAATATCAGATCTAAAGACTTAGATCAAAGCAATGAAGACTCAAAAAGAGCTTGAAAGTTTCCACTTCTGGTATGGTTAGAGAACTCAAACTGTGAAGATACTTTCAGACTTATGCACCCTTATAAAAAAGAATACACATAGTCAAATGGAAAGTCTAGCACAAGAATAGACTATATTTAGGCCTCAAAAGATCTAAGTCATAGTCTTATCAACTGCAGAATACTAGAGGCAGAGTGTATTACAGGGGGTGATCACAAGATTGTTTTAGTATAGTTGGTAACAGATTTTACACAAAAAAGTAGATCTAAAGTATGCACTAAAAGGATGAAAGGAAAAAAATATATTTTAAAATTGGAAAACGCAACAGAAGAGGAATGAGAAATATACAGCATAAAGCTAGACAAAATACTTAAAGAAAAACTTGCTCTTTGCCTTAAAAACTATAATATAAAGACGCAGTATGAAGGGAAAAGTATAGATGAGCTCTAGGACACAATATCAGGTTGCATACTTAGTAGTATATACAAAGTACTCCCAAGTAAAAGTATCAAAATAGGAACTTGTCTGCAACAAGAACCAAAAGAGAGTGATGATATTCTAAAAAAACTAAGAATATTAGGCAAGCTTTGTCATATATGTATAGTAAATAAAGGCAAATACATTGCTAAAGAAGAAAGATTTTATTGGTCAAATAAAATCAAAGAACTTAATGAAGATTTAGATACAGAAATAGAAGAAATCATAGAA